CAGGTACTTTTGTCTTCCCCCCTCCGTTTTTAATCCAACATTTCAAGATTTCAAAGTAAAATGTAGGTAAGTTTTTTAGGTTTACTAGTGACTTATGAGAATTAAGATTCATTTTAAATATTAAATTATTTTCCCCAAACTCCCTGAAATAATAGGTAGGTATGATTTTCCAGTTAGCACAAGTTTCATCAGTTAATCTTTTAACCCAATTTATTTTGATAGCCTCAATGTATGCATCAATATCCGTCATTTGTAATCCCCCTTCAATATATTTTTTTCTTAACACTGAGCGTTTAACTTTCTCGCTACCACCCTCCCATAAAAAATTAAATAAGATTTTTTTAAATTGACTTATAATCTCAGTGCTCAGATTTATCAATGAAGCAACATATGTTATATTGGGAATAACTAGTGTTTTAATTATAGTTATTTTTCCAATCATACTCAATTTTCTTTTCTTCCAATCATTTAGTATCCTTTCTGATTTTTCAAACTGTTTATCTATATTTAGTGTTTCACATTCTTTTTTGTTAAGGCCGAAATGAATACCAAGACTTTTCACTTTATCTTTCCAATTGATACTTTCAAATTTGTCTTTGCAGTGTTTTAGTTTACCTAGCCATATACCTTCTGTTTTGTTTCTATTGAGTTTAAGTCCCGAAAAAGATCCAAAAGTTTCTATTAAATTTAGTGCATGTTTTATTTCATCTTTAGATCTTAAAAAGAGAGTTGTATCATCTGCTAGTTGTGAGATTTTTAGGCTATGAGTTTTTTTATCAATTTTTATTTGTATCCCTTTCAGATCATTATTATCTCTTATTCTACAAGCCAGTATTTCGACTGATAAAACAAATAATAAAGCGCTTAAAGTGCATCCTTGTCTAATTCCCCGTTGAATCCCGAAGGTTTCAGAGATCCACCCGTTATTTAAAATACATCCTTTTATGTCGTGATATAGTGTTTTGACCCACTTTTGAAAAGACTCGTTAAATCCAAATTTTTTTAATGATTCCAGCATAAAGTCCCATTCTAGTGAGTCGAACGCTTTAGAAAAGTCAATAAATAGTATAGCTCCATCAATATTAAGGTTTTCTGCATAATCTATAATATCTTGAATTAGACGTACGTTGAATCCTATATATCGATTTTTAACATAACCATTTTGATCTCTGTGTATGATAAGGGGTAAGATTTTTTTAAGTCTTTGTGCTAAAGTATATGTAATAAGTTTTACATCAGTATTCAACAAAGTAATTGGACGGTAGTTATCTAGGGACAAAGGGTCTTTTTTTTGAAAATCAATGATATTATCCCAATCTTTTGGGTATCAGATAGAGTTTCTTTGTCATAACATGTGTTAGAAAAATTCAATACAATATGTTTTAATTTTGGCCAAAATTGTAGATAAAACTCAACTGTTAAACCATCTTTTCCTGGAGTTTTGTTTAATTTCATATTATAAATAGAAGATGTTAACTCTTCTAAGGTTAATTTACCATCTACTTGTTTACTTTCACAAGGATTTAATAAGTGATCAATGGGGGTATTATCTATGTATGTCTTTAAAATTTCAGTTTCAGGACACGTGCTTTTGTACAGAGATTTATAATACTCTTTACTTGCATCTAAAATTTCACAGTAAATGATCAACAGTAACCTCACCGTTTTTAGTCATTAATTTATTAATAGATTTTTTAGCCTGCCTATTCTTTTCTAGGGATAAAAAGTACTTAGTATTTTTTTCCCCTTCCTCTACCCATTTTATTCTTGATCTAATTTGGGCTCCTTTGGCGTTTAAAGAGTATATCTCTTCTAATTCTTTTTCTAAGTTTTTTATTTGATTAGAAAGATCATTATTTTTTCTATCAGGCAGTTTGTCTAAGCTTTCATTTAAAAGATTTAGTTTGTTTTCCATTACTCAAATATTATTTTTCCTGTCTTGAGCTTTAGATTTACAGTATTGGATAGTGGACTCTCTTATGTCAGTTTTAAGCAGGTCCCACTGATTTAGGACATTCTTAAAATTAAAATTTTGCTCATACTTTTCAATTAACTTATTTATTAGTTTATTATACTGAGTATCAGTTAATATACTAATATTCATTTTAAAGTATCCCTTACCACGATTGTTTGCATAAATGTCTAATTTAAGCGAAATACCTAGATGGTCTGTGAATGAAATTTGTGCTGGCCTGATATCAGCAGATACAGTATTTATGCGTGCTTGTGTGCATATTATAAAAAAGTCTATTCTACTTTTTTTTAATCTTATAACTAATAAAATGAAAAATGAGAATATCATTTCGCTTCAAATTCCATTATTTTTATTTTTTCAAACTTAATTTTGATTTAGTTGCTTTTAGAATTCATTGCTTGAGAGATAAATATATGGGTCAAGTGAAATGACGAAGTAATGATCGTTGCATTTGATTACCGGTAACTGAATTAATTATTCTCTTGAAAGGTTGTTGTCAATACAATTATCCCAAATTTATTAACAAAATATGTAAAGAATTAAACTAACAGATTGTGTTAATTTTTAAATAGCATCTGTTACAACAAAGTATGTGTATTCAACGAGCCAAAATTCATGCAGTCAATGCTCCCTTCCGTCATCCTTCAATGCAATAGGCCGAGATATGGGTAGATAGGTTGGTTATGTCGAGTAATGTTAATTTATTGGAAATCTCTATTGAAACTGATTTTCTCCAATGTAACCTTGCATTAACACAAAAGTACAGATATCACTTTTAAAGACCTTCTAAAACATTCACCGTTGTTATTAGCATCTTATTAGTAATTATTATGTTTCTCGTACACAAAATAATATTAAACTATATTTGTCACTCTACATTTAACTGTTATATCTTTAATAGAACTAAACACTGAAAAATGATATATTCAGCTCTGAGAAATTATTCATTATTTAAAAGCAATTGCGTGATATACCTACTCATACAGTTAAATAGTCTTTCTTCCGATGATCTGATAATTTTAACTTCTTACTGGCCTCTCACATATAATTCCGATTTCAATTGAAATGTATGGTAAGTTCGAAACACCACCAAATTAGTTATTAATCAAATCTGTAGGAAGACAAATAACCTATAGTTGTTAATTTCTATGTCATTTCGTCTCTTGTGGAGAGTTTTCTCACGGGCAACCATATCACATCTTCTCTTCTTATTTTAAAAAATACAAATAAAACATTCAGATTTTCACGTACAGTGTCTGTCAACAAACCAATAATTTTCTACCGAGAGCCTCAATCAAAGAAAATTAATTTACCATTATAATTCTCTGCATAATTTGTTATTTTATATCAATGATTAAGAGTGATAGGTATAACAGTACATATTTATCATTTTAGTTACCTTATTCACCATTAACGTAATTTGCGATGCACTACTGCGCCGTGACATTGTGTGCCAAAGAGGTTATCGCTGGTAGGTTGATCTCACTCCATAATGTATGCATGGAATTGTTGGTCATTACAATTTCTATTTTCGCAACTTTTTTAAATAGATATAAGAAGATGTGTTATGAGTGCCAATGAGACAACTCTCCATCCAAGTCACAATTTGTAAAAGTAAACCATTATAGGTCAAAGTACGGCCTTCATCACGGAGCCTTGGCTCACACCAAATAGCAAGCTATAAAGGACCCCGAAATGGCTAGTGTGAAACCATTCAAACAGGAAAACCAACGGTCTAATCTATATAAAAAACGAGAAACGAGAAACACTTATGAACCACATCAACAACCACTGAACATTAGGTTCCTGACTTAAGCTAGTTAAAAGCCAAAAACAATTAATAATAAAAAACTTATTAACATCCAATTATTTCATTTCCTTGATACAAAATTGCATTTTTTTGTCGTACAATGTGACAAAACCAGTATTGTTTTTATTTGTTATTTTTGCTGATACTGTTCATCTTTTTTTTTAATAAACACTGGAAAAACTGGTACTTTGAATGGGAGACCGAGTGAAACTTTGCCATTCTCAATATCATTGAAATAAATGGATCTTTAAAGATCAAAAAGCTTAAAGTTCTGTCAATGCGATAAATACTACTATCCGCTTCTGTATTGATCTTTTTTTTTATAAAATAAAGTAGACCATTTTTGATGTTTACTTATAAAGTGAATGTAAAAATAGATAACCGATCTTTGTCTTGTGTGAATAACTATTGGAGCAGTTGTGAATTTTGATGTGCTTTATTTTTAAAAGTTTCTTTTTCATGATTTTATAGTATGCTTTCTTCTGTAAGACTGTTGTGTTAATTAAGGATGTATTCTTCTGACGTTTCAGTCTCTTTGAAATCTCGTTCTGGAATTATTTCCAAAACATGTAATACAAGTGGAAAATATCAATGAATTTAAAAAATATTATAATAAAACTTAACTCTGTAAAAAAAATCATGTATTTACAATAAGTAGTTTTTGAGTAATAAAATTTTCAAATTTTATAACCAATCAAGTCAGTCTCATTAGCCAAAATGTTGAGAAAATGGATGAGGGGTACAAGCAATGATTTTACCAGATACATGTACATCCCATATCAATTTTTTCTTTTCAAATTTCTTAGATATGTATTTTTTCAATCATTTATAACAAAGAATTTGAAATAACATGCTTTTTGTTCTAAAAAAGAGAAAAATCCCAAATTTACAAAATTGTCAACATTTGACACGAAAAAGCAACAAAATTTTATAAAACTTTCTTATATCAACACCTACCCATAGTTTTTTTTTTTAAGTTAACTTTATTCAGATTGGTCCACTTCATCTTTAGTGAAAGTAGGTATAAAAGTTTAATTGTGAAACTGTTTTTTTTTTCATGATAATAGGCCGAAAATGGGTAAAAATTAATGAAAAATGGGAAAATCAGCAAAATTGGGTACTTTTAAATGGCTGTAGCAAAAAAGAAGTGCACCACCATATGATTTTTTCTTCACCAATTATTTTTTTTACAGCCATATAAACCCAAAAATTAGGTAAAGAAAAAAATTTAATTCTAGAAATTTTTGGCTCCTCAGAGGTGTACATCCCCTATTGTCAAAACAGAGATTTACAATTAAACTTGACCTAAACATTTTGCAACACTTTTAAAATATTTATGTCTTCTACAAACAATAGATAAAATGAACTTTGCGTCGTAATATGTCTTTTATTTTTACAGTCTTCAAGAATCAGCTGGAAATGAAGATTAACAGCACTTTTATGACGTCAAATTTGTTCTTATTCTCCACTTATTCGATACGAATTTTTTGTTTGACTTCTTCTGTAAAGAGGAATTAAACATAACACGACTCCGCTAAATATAACCAGACCGCCAACAAAATAAAAAGGAATGCTGTAACTGCCGGTGCCATCATATAACCAACCTGAAAGTAACATTACTATATATTATATGAACACATTAAGTTAGATATAAACTTCAAGCTACAACATGTATAAGAGCAGTACTTCAGACAGAAATATGAAGTATGCCCTATTTGTTGCAGCTCAATTTTTTTGTGAATCATATATAAAACTGAAAGCTTTATTTTTGCATGGTTATGGTTAAGTCTAACATTTTTCGTATTGCCAAAGGTTATAGCTTTCATTGCTGTTTGTTTGGTCGGACACGTTCCCAATTGCTCTTGCATTCTCTTGTTTTGGTGTACATCCGTTTTACTGCCCTTGCTATTTTCTTGTGTGGTCATACATCTGCCTTGATACTCTTGATTCGTCTTGCTTTGTTGTTTATCTGTACTATTTCTCTCAATCTTTTTTAGCTGTACACTGTCTTGTTGTTTTTGATTTATTATGTTTGGTTGTACATCTGTCTTGTTTCTCATGATTTGTCTTGTTTTTCCATACGACAACCTTGGTTGACCGTACACCAGCCTTATTGCTTTTGATTTGTTTAATTTGTTTGTACATCTGCCTTGTTAGTACTAGGTATTATGAAGTCACTTTCTATGTTCATTGATTTGGTAGTTTTTGTTTTGTGCAGTGTTTATCGATGTCAATTATCTTAAGAGACGTCGCTTGGCCATATATTTTGTTAATGTCTGTGTTCCTTTTACCGGTAAAAGTCTTGTATATCCGTCGTCCTAAAATTCTTGTTTCTCACTTTTTATAATTTCAAATCGTTTTTAGGGTTTGAAAATTTGAATGATCGATGGATTACAAATTAGGTGATGTCTTAGGGTTAGGTAAGATTTAATTACCAATCCGCTGTTGTTAGATGTCCAATCTTTATTTCTTTTCAATGTATTTCATGAGAGTAACATGTGTCACATGTGTAGCTGGATCTTCTAACCTTTCCTGAGCCCCTGGGGACAATTGGTTTTAGATGATTTCTTGTTGGACAGTCTTTAGTTTTCAATGTAGTGTCCTGTAGAAAGGTTTTCATTTTAGTCGTATTTCGATTTTTGCAACGGAATTGTCAGTTTCTCTTCGACTAATGAGTTTTAAATGGGCCCTTGGTTACCTCCTGCATTCTTTTTGAATAACTTATAAACCTTACCACATATTGGTGGACCTAGGATAGTACCAATTCCCTGGAACATCATTAGTAGTCCTAATGCTTTATCTAAGCGTTCTGGCCCTATGAGGTCAACCAGTATCACAGTATTCAAACTTACAAATACACCTTTATTAATATAAAATCAAATATCTTTTAATTGAGAAAAAAATCTAACATAATTGTTTTTTTAGTATGACCTCTCATTTTATGATATTTAGAGTAATTATGAATATAATATGTGTTTTCAGCCGTGTATCACCTTCACTGGTGATCCAATGGATGAGTCTGTTGTAGAGTTGTCACCTGTTAAGACGTCCTTATCAAATAATTATTTCTGTGACTCCATCTTACGATCCTTTACGACAGATAATTTAGCTAATCTGCAATCAATTCCAACTTCATGCCTAATATATCATGTACAGTGTTACAACTCTAGATTCTACTAAAATTTTATGTTCAGTCTAGGTGGCCGAGTGGTCTAAAGCGCTGGACACAGTGCAGGCAGTGTTGGCTCGATATCTCAATAGCATGAGTTCGAATACCGGCGAGGGTAGAACAAAATATTTGCGAAAGCAAATTTACAGATCTAACATTGTTGGGCTGATGTTTAGACGAGTTGTATATACATAATGTACACAGCCATGTATCACCATCACTGCTGGTGATCCGATGGATAAATCTGTTGTAGAGTTGTCATTGGTTCAGACGTACTTATATATATAAATATATATATATATAAGTCTGAAAATTACACCCAACAGTGTTAGAATTAGACTTTTATGCGGACAAATTTTTGTCCCTCAACGGGATTCGAACTCACACCTTTGATACACTACAGCACCAATCGCTTAGCCTCATGTCCAGCGCTCTAGACCACACGACCACATCCGCTATATTAAAATATAACTTCAATAGTCGTAGTGTTACCTTGTCACGTAAGGCGAATCTAGAGATAGACATGAGACATGTGTTTTAAGCGTGTGAAGATGTTATATTATTATTTAATACACAATGTATTTGTTATTTGTAAGCAATCTAACTCAACAATTTTTATACGTATATATATACAAGTCTAAATTGAATACAACGTTCAAATTTATGTTTGCGTTGGATACAAATCGCAATTTTTATACGTGTGCATGCAAAACAAATTTCTTGGTAGAGGGGTCTAAATACAGCACAAACAACATTTTCCAAAAGACCGAAAAAGTGAAAAAGTATATTTTTAACAAAACGCATTTGACTAGCAGGTCGAACAACGGATGTTCTTAAACCCTGCTGACTGCCATTGGCGATTGCCAAATAAACGGATCACAAGATGTAACATAATGGATCTTAATTATTAATTTAATACAAAACAAAAAACAATAAACTTGCGGAAAAGATGGTATACCGCAAACAAAAGGTGCAAAATTTGTACACCATATCCGGATTTCGACAATTAATGTCTCTATATATATATATAACTACAATGCAATCATAGGTTTGAACGTTGTTTTCAATTTAGACTTATTTATATATAACTACAATGTATATTGATATATTTCCCAGTTGGTGGATTGATCAAGAGCGCTGGACACAGTGCAGGTTGAGTTGCCACTATGTCACATAAGCAAGGATTTGAATGCCGCTGAGGGAAGGACAAAATTTGCGAACGCAAATTTACAGATATCCGATGAAAAATGTCTGTCATTAAGTTGGCACATGTTTAGACGTATATACATATATTCGTTACGGCAGACAAAATAGCTGATATGAAAGGTACACCATCTACTTGCCACTATACATCATGTACTGTGTTATCTACTGTAACCATGGAAACAGCAAAAATATCCAAAATTTCCAAAAAAATCAAAATGCTGCAAACTGGATGAAACTTTACAGAAATGGTAACTGGCATGGGCACAGTTGCATTTTGAAGTTGGAATTTTCAAAATGGCCGCCGTAACCATGGAAACAGCAAAAATGTCAAAAATTTCAAAATGCTCCAAACTTAATATAACTTTACAAAAATTATAATTTGCATGTGTAGATGCGCTCTTTGACTTTGAAATTTTCAAAATGGCTGTCGTTACCATGGCAATGGGGGAAGGGTGCCATCCGTTATTGCTAGCAATTACAAAGCTAGTTATTATTATTTTTCTTCCACCTAATTTTGTCCGCCCGCTTTCTCAGAGCCAAAGCTACCAATCCGAATGATGGTTTACTATAACAAGGAACCCTGACTTTCCAGTTGCAGTGCAACTTTGAAACTAAAAGATGGCTGCCACCACCATGGAAACTGAAAAATGGTGAAAAAATATAATTTTGGAGTTCGCTGAATTATTTGAGAATGCTTAAGCTTAAAATCTTTAGCCCACTATATACTGGTTTGGGATGATTTTGGCAATCATTGGAACTGCTATGTTGCCATGGATACTACACCAAAAATTTCAAAAATATCGAAATGCTCCAAATTTAATAAAACTTTACAGTAACGATGAGCAACATTGGTAGATAAAGAATTTGGCGTTGGAATATCGAAAATGTCTGCCGTTATTATGGAAACAATGCAAAACAGGTCAAAATGCTCAAAAAACCTTATAGTGGCATTTACTTTCTTAATATGGTAGGTCAAATCCATTGAAATTTTGATGGTATGTTCCCTCCCATGTACCAATGTGGTATCTGCCAATAAATTTTTGGAATGGTCTCTGTAACCATAGGAACCATCTAAAATGTCAAAAATTTCAAAAATTTCAAAATGCACCAAAATTGATGAAACTTAATATGATTGTTGACTGGCAAGTCTGGATGAGACTTTTGACTTTGGAATTTCCAAAATGGCCACCGTTGCCATGGAAACTGCAAAAATGTCAAAAATTTTCAAAATGTTTCAAATTAATGAAACTTGATAGGATTGTTAACTGGCAAGTAAAGATGACACTTTCAAAATGGCTGCCGTTGCCATGGAAACCGCAAAAATGTGAATTTTTTTTAAATGCTCTTAATGTACTGAAAATTTACAGAAAGATGTACATGCATATATGTGCATTCACTAATTTTTTTGAAATGGCTGCCGCTTAGTGGCAATGGGGGAAGGGTGACATCCGCTATTGCTTGCAATGGCAATTCTGGTTATTATGGCACCCTCAACGGTGTTGGGATGACATACTGTTATTCTACGTTTCTTTTTTTTCTTATTTTTATTCCACACATTTTGTCCGCGCGAGTTCTTGGAATCCAATGGACCAATGTTGATGGAACTCTACTATAATAAGGACCCCCATGTAAAGTTGTGCACCTTGCTATGGAATGGTAAAAAATGGCCGCCGTTTCCATGGAAACAGCAAAAATGCGAAAAAAATCAAAATGTTCCAAACTGGAAGAAACTCCACAGGAATGGTAACTGGCATGTGCTGATTTGCAGTTTAACTTCGGAATTTTCAAAATGGCTGCCGTTACCATGGAAACAGCTACAATATCAAAAATTCTAAGTCTTTCGTTATAATATTTGGACAGTCCAAAATGGCCGCCGTTGTTATGGAAACTGGGGGCAAGTTTTACATTGTCCCTATAGGAAAATGCATAAAATCTGCATTTCTTAAAGAGTATTTCACCAAAGTAAATGAAACTTTATTAATATATAACATGACATGTGGCAATGAGATGTCTGCATTTAGAATTTTGGAATTATCCACTGTAACCATGGAAACAGCAAAAATGTCCAAAATTTCAAAACAACCAAAATGCTTCAAACTGGATGAAACTTTACAGAAATGGTAACTGGCATGGGCAGAGTTGCATTTTGAAGTTGGAATTTTCAAAATGGCCACCGTAACCATGGAAACAGCAAACATGTCCAAAATTTCAAAATGCTCCAAACTTAATGAAACTTCACAAAAATGATAATTTGCATGTGTAGATGCACTCTATGACTTTGGAATTTTCTAAATGGCTGTCGCTCGCCTGGCAATGGGGGTAGGGTGCCATCCGCTATTGCTTGCAATGGCAAATCTAGTTATTATTATTTTTCTTCCACCAAATTTTGTCCGCCAGTTTTCTCAGAGCCAAAGGAACCAATCTAAATGATGGTGCACTATAACAAGGAACCATGACTTTCGAATTGCAGTGCAACTTTGAAACTAAAAAATGGCAGCCGTTACCATGGAAACCGAAAAAAGATGAAAAAATAAAATTATAGGGTTTGGTGAATTATTTGGGTATGCTTTAACTTAAAATCATCAAATTTTAATACAATGTAGGTGTCCACCATATACTGGTTTTGGATGATTTTGGCAATCATCGGAACTACTATGTTGCCATGGAAACTACAACAAAAATTTCAAAAATATCAAAATGATTCAAACCTAATGAAACTTCACAGTGATGATGAGCAACATTAGTAGATGTGGTATTTGGCTTTGGAATTTCCAAAATGGCTGCCGTTACCATGGATACAATGCAAAAAAGGTCAAAATGCTTCAAAAACCTTAAAGTAGCCTTTACTCTCTTAAAATGGTAGGTCAAATCCATTGAAACTTTGTTGGTATGTTCCCTCCCATGTACCAATGTGGCATCTGTCATTACATTTTGGGAATGGTCTTTGTAACCATGGAAACCAGCAAAAATTTCAAAAATTTCAAAAATTTCAAAATGCCCCAAACTTGATAAAACTTCACAGAAATGTCAACTGAGATGTGCAGAGTTGCTATTTGTCTTTGGAATTTTCAAAATGGCCGGCGTTGCCATGGACACAGCAAAAAAAAAACTAACATAAACTGACTATGCAGTATGGGCTTTGCTCATTGTTGAAGGCCGTACGTTGACCTTTAGTTGTTAATTTCTGTGTCATTTGGTCTCTTGCGGAGAGTTGTCTCATTGGCAATCATACCACAACTTATTTTTTATATATAAAACACCTCGTAAATTTGAGGCAAAATTCCGTAAACAAGAGTATGTGCGTACGATCAAATACAAAATCTGTACTGCAAAACATTTTTCTAGAATATGCTAGAAGAAAAAAACATATAATTTAACGTGCTTCTATTCTACACAAAAATCGTTCTGTGAAGAGAAAATCGCCACCGAGAGAGAGAAAAACACTAAGAGTACATATTAGTGACATTTCTGTACTTGCAT